TTTGAATGATGATGCGTCTGAGTGATTATCCCTCTCCTGAATGGGAATGAGTCGGCATCCTATTTCTGTGTGAAAGAACTTCTTTCGGAACTCTTCCATTAGTTTCCTGGGTAGTCCTCCTACGCAAGGACCCTGTTTTTTTGTCTTGTGAACGGTGGATGCGTGTGTACTGTGTGAGCAATCCATCTTTTTCTTGTGCATGGCTCATTTTTCGCACCTTCCACAGGGAATGAATGTATGGAAATGCGCGTCTCTTTTGTGTTGATTAGACGATTGTCGTCGGGATTTTGTCCGAGAATGCAAGAGTGTTTAGATCTGTAGTTTTGAGTGCACTGCACATGCCATCTGCCTTATGCTCCGACATCAGCAAGCCAAATCATGAGGCGGCCTCGAGAAACAAGGCGCCTGGGATTAAAGTCGCATGGGCTCACTAAACCTGAGCCGCGGATCGATCCCTTAGTTATATGCATGATCAAGTTGTTGAAGCGTCTCTCTCTCTCCCTCTCGTGTTGAAGGAAATTGTTTATGAGTAGCACGAGTGTTTTCTTTTTCTGGATGACGACACAAGGTCTTTACAATTGATTGATATGTGGACTGACCAGTACCCTCCTATCGGGCACCAGCCCCCCGTACCTCCCGTCCCAACACGGCCTTTTCCGTATAACAAGGGAAGGACACGTGTATGTGAGTGGGACGTACGAGAAGCTGTCGCACAGATCGGCGGGCGATACTACTTCCCTCCGGCCAACCGCTGTTCAGGGTTCGTAGAGGCTGGGTTTGTCATTATCGATACGCACTTCCCACCTTACTCGATATTGTTGTCATTCAAGGAGTTGATCGGCATCCCGTGGACGGCAGTAGAACCCCACTGGCCGCGCACTCTATGCACCGAATGTCGGCGTTTTGAGCGCTACGAATCCAGGGGTTTCCACTACCGTGTGCAAAGTGAAGACGAGCATAAGGAAAGAGCCACGCAGCTGAGACCATCCACATCAGACTCGGAACTGACCACGGAACGACGACGAGATTTAATACGAAAACGAGACACGCGGAGCGTGCCAAAGCCTTTCCGTTCTAAACGACGGGCCGTAGCTCGGTTGGAAGCCCGACAATACTTTTTGGATTGAATTTGGATTGTTTTTCTCTTCGCGCCTTGTCCGCGCGCGCATCCTGCGACGCGCGAAAACAATCGACTTGCTTCATCGGACCATCACGGGGGATTTCAGTTTCCATCTGTGTCCTCACACTCAATTTCCAAAAATCCTTGGCACACCCCATCTTGCTGTTTTTCTGGGCCTCTTTCTGCACAACTAACACTCTGAACGAAAGACAGCACAGGGCGTGAGGTTGCGCGTCACATGCGCGGGGCAAGTGCATCTGGCCTAGTGAGGTCGGGGAGGGAGGGAGGGGCTGCGGCACAGGGGTAGGGATCAGCACAAAGTTGGGTTGTAGGTAGGGGACCCGGAACTCAGCGAGGGGTTTCCTTTGCCATTGGGGTTCCGTTGTCCTCCACGGTTTCCATGTTATGTCAAGTTCAGTGTTCAGTTCCGAGAACAGTTTGGCTGGGTCCTGCCAAGTTTGCATGTAAATGTCTCGGATTATCTCCTTGGTGGGAGGGTCCTTTTCCTCCACAACATCCCGCCTCATCGCCTTCCACGCTTCCTGGGTTTTGGACCTTATCAAGTCTTTCACTGCCTATTGTGCCTGCATCAACCCGAATTGATGGTCTTTTCGTTCAAACGAGCATCTGGCTCTCCAGGCCAGCATCAAGAGGTGCAGCCTTGTATACGAAAAGAGGTTGGATGCAAAGGGTGACCTGTTAGCCAACAGGTGACGATTCTTTCCAAGCAGGAGGAGGCCGACATCCTAGGGGATATGGTATCTAGTAAGAGAGTGAAAGGCCTCATCCCACCATTGCCATAGCTGGGTTACCATCGAGCACGCCAGGAGGCAGTGTTCGAGGGTCACCCTGGCCGGCGTGTGCGCACAATACGCACATATGGGGGACAACTTTCCTTGTTGTTCCAGGGTAGTTCTTGACACCAACCAGTCAGGGGTGTTGAGGCAGCGGTGCAGGATCTGCCACTGCAGCGCTCTGTGGTTTGTGGGCATGATCTTTCCATATGTGGACCAGTCGAATGATTGTGACAGTTTTTGGTCCAACGGTGAATCCCGCACCCATCTGTTGGCTATTGTTTGGCCGATCGGCAAGGATTGGTGTGATGTTCGATACCCTCCTTTGACTGTGTAGTCCAAGATGTTCATTGGTTTGGCGCCCGGCCACTCCCACTCCACCAAGTCAAATGGGAGTTTAGCCACCGGTACAGTGGGTTCATATGCATAGTACCCATTTACCTGATCCCCCACCACTCTCACCTGCAGCAGTCCCCCCCATACAGGTGTGATATCCAGGTTGTCGTTCCTCAGCAGTTTGGTGAATCTTGCTCCTGGCGATTGGAGTTCATAAGCTTCCAGTTCACAGATGCCCTGCTGATTTTTTTTGACATTAAACACTGGCAAGTGAGCCGGGGAGTCCGAGTATCTGACGACCCAGTCACCCCGACGAACAGTCGGTCCCTCCCTCAAGGTGAGGTGCCAAGCAATGGGGAAAAGGTTAGCCTTCTCTTCCACGTTCTTGACGTGTTTTAGTTTGTGCTGCAGTTGGGTCGGGGTTGCCCAGTCCCCTTCCACCGGATCCCACAGGTCCCCAATCGTGAAGACTCCCTTCTTGACCCACGTGAGCCAGTGGGAATTGGTCGCAAGAGAGAAAGGTTGGCCTGATTCTTGCACGATGTGGGGGTTGCCAAAGAGGGGTTGTCTCCATATGTCGTGCCACCTGTTCGGAGGATGTTTTCGTCGGGGACCCCTTCGCCTCCAGAGTTTGATCATAAAGGGTCACAGAGGATCTGTCGGGATGTCCTGCTTTGTGGCCTGTACGAGGTGAAGCTGGTGCACACGGTGCATTTGTTTCGGGGGCGAGGGGACAGTCCAGTGGATGTTTGTGAGCCATTGAAACGGATGAACCTTCCCTGGTGGATCGGTCTGGGGGGCCAGGTTGGCCAGCTGCAGGCAGGCAAGTGGAGCCCAGGGAATATCATTTCCGATTAGCAGCCGAACCAGGACCTTGAAGAAGAGCGCGTCAACCTGTCTTTCCGGGTCCAAAATGCCGAGCCCCCCTTCAGATCTTGGCTGTGTGAGAAAGTCCCACTTCACCCTATTGACACAACCCTGAACCTTGGTACTGTTTTTCCAGAGATAGGTTGTGAGGGCCTTCTTTAATCTAGCGTGTTGTTGTTTGGTCAGCGGCCAGACTGCCAGCTTGTACCAAATGGCCGCAAGGATGGCACTATTGATCGCCAAAGCCCATCCCACCAGAGATGTGTGCAGGCCCTCTCAGTTGGCCAGGCGGTTCAGAGCTGTGTCGACCAGCCTGTCCCCATGATCCGGCGGCGGGCCCATCGCAGTGAGTCGCACCCCAAGAATCCTGATGGCCTCTTCTTTGCGTGCCCAAGCTACACTCGGCTGGGGCGGGGGCGGTTGTCCTTGAGGATGGAGCCACCATCGCTCAGTCCTAGAGCCCCAATTGACCTTCATATCAGACGCGAGTAAGAATAGGTGGATAACTTGGGTGAGGGCTTGGATGCCGTCCAGATCGGCGCGTATCAGCACGGTCAAATCGTTTGCGAAGAGCGATGTGACTGGTATGAGGTGATGCGGTATTTTAGGGATAGGCATTCCGCTGATACCAGGGTGATCTCTGATCATTGATGCGAGGGTCTCCATGACTACCACGAACAAAAGCGGCGCTATTGGATCTCCTTGGTGCACCGAGCGTTGGAGGCGGATTGGCGGTGAGAGGTGACCATTGAGCATTATGTTAGTCGTGGCCGATCTGTGCAACAGTCGAACCCATTGGCAGAAAACCGGACCAAAGTTCATTTTAAGCAGACACATATCGAGGAAATCCCAATCGACATAGTCATATGCTTTTTCAAAGTCGATGAAAAGAATCGCCGCTTGAACCTTTCTTTGTCGGGCATATTTAATGGTTTCATTGACCAATAGGATATTGTCCTGTATATTCCTATTGGGCATGAACCCAGTTTGGTCCGGGTGGATTAGCACATTCAAAATGGCAGCAATCTATTTGTCAGGACTTTGGCCACTATCTTATAGGGGACCGGGAGCAGGGTGATGGGTTTGTAGTTTCTTATGTTCTCTTTGTCCCCTTTCTTATATAGCAGAGTAGTCACCCCTTGGCCAATCATCCCACCGAAGGATCCTTCTTTTTGTATCGCCTCTATGTATTCCATAAGGTCGTCCTTGAACATGTCCCAGAATTTTACCCTGAACACTTCCGGAAAGGAGTCAATCCCTAGGGTCTTTTTGTCGTCCATGTCTTGCAGGGCGTCCCAGACTTCGTGTGAGGATATGGGCTTGTCTAGGGTGGCTCTTTGTTGTTGTGCTAAGGACGATTGGACCACCTGGAGAAGCGATTGCCTTGCTTGAAGGACTTGTTCTGGGTGTTTGGTGGGCGTTTCTGATGTGAACAAGTCGGTGTAGTATTTAGCCGCGTAATCCGTGATTGCATATGCATTCGTTGCTGGCTCTGCATTGTTGTCCAGCGGGTGATTTAGTCTGGGAACAATGGCTGCTCTGGATCTCGCTCTAGCTTTTGCAAAAAAAGTTTTTGCCATTGTTCTGTCTATGTGTTGTTTTTTTTATTTTGGTCTGCACTCTCCATGCTTGTGTCTGGCGTTCAACATAGGCCTGGAGGTGGTCGCGGGCCTCTTGCAGTTTGTCATACAAGGGGCGGTTCAGCGGTTCATCCATCAGTGCGTCGTCCCATTCCTCCAATTCTTTCATGAGGCTGTCAAGGCACGCTTTGCGGTCTCGCGCATGCTGGATGGAGAAATTTTTGGCCCTTTCCCTAAGGTGCGCCACCCCCTTATTAAACCAGTTCACCCTTTCCCCAGAGTCGGGTTTCTGGATCCGCCAATATTCCCAGAAGTCAACGACCAGCTTTTTAAAACTGGTAAGGGGGAGTAGAGAGGCATTTAGCTTGTAAAACCCCGGCCCTCCGTGGATGGAAGACAGTATGCTGGAAGAACATAATTAGTGGGATGACCCACCGTTTGTCCTTCCGATAAAAATAGCAGACTGAAACGATCGGGACAACCTCGCATTCATAACGAAGAACAAAATAAAACAGTGACCAATGGGCCCGACAACACAGACACCGAACCTGACCAGTACCATGACAGGCTGCCGACGTGTGCCAGCCCAGCGATCCCCCCCCCTTCCTGATAGGACGCAGCATCATCCCGATCCGCTCACCACTCTACCCGCACACCCCGCCGCCCGCCAACACACCCCAATGCCCAACCCCGACCACCCCCCAGGTCCAATGGCCCCCCCCCCCCCCCCCCCCCCCCCCCCCCCCCCCCCCCCCCCCCCCCCCCCCCCCCCCCAATCACGACTCCCCCAATCAGGAGGAAGCCCCACTGGGTAACAAAATTGGAGCGGGCGGATATCGACATCTGCTCGTTGAACGTCAGTGGCCTGATCCAAGCGACGACGCCCAAGAAAGACGCCATATGGGATATGCTTAGGTGCCCCGAAACCAGATCATGGCCAGATGCAATCTGCATCCAATAAACACACTTGCAAAATACACCAGCACATGATGCAAAGGCAAAAATGATCTGGCCATATACACTGTTCGCCGCGCCTGCGAAAGAGAGGGCATCTGCAGGTGTCGCGATCTGGCTCCCGCCATCCTCAAAACTGAAACCTTTGGAGGTTGACCACGACAAAGAGCACGGAAGGTGGGTATGCCTGAAACTTCAATTTGAGGACGAGGTCTTTTACCTGGTCAGCGTGTATGCATCCAATGATAGTGTCGCCAAGGTGGACTTCTGGCTTACCCTCCATGAAGCCCTACCCGAAGACGCTCCCCTGATCTTAGCAGGAGACTTTAATACCACGCTGGACCCGATGTTGGATAGGAGATCCACGAGTACACATCAAGACCCGTCGCCCTCGTCAATGTCTGCCCTGTCCCTGGACATCTTTATGCTCAAACAACTCATGGCAGACAGGTAGCTCAAAGACGCATACAGACTGCTGCACCCTGCCCTCAGAGCCTACACCTGCCTGTCGTCTAGAGGTGAACACAGCCTTGCCAACTCACGGATTGATCTGATGCTGGTGTCAAAGGATATGATGGGCCTCGTCACGACGGCGGAAATAACAACGATTAGCCCCTGTAGGTCTTTTGATCATAGGATGATCACACCTTTGTGGCTTTTGGACACATTAGCACGACGACCAGGATGATCCATTGTGAAAACGACAACGAGCGCAGCAGTACTGCACCTCGGACACCTTCGAGTTGCGTTTCCCTGCACCATTACTTAAGGCGCTTTAAAATTATTGTTGTGGAGGGGTTCCCCCTCCATCCCTCCAGTGTGAGGCCATCGGGGTCCGGGGGGTGATGCTGAGGACGATCGCGGGGGGGTCTGAGTCCTAGCAGCCACTGCCCTCCTTCGTTTTGTCGGGTCATCGGTAGTATGATAACTCTTGGGTTCACATGCATTGGAGTAGCATCGTCAGTTATCAGTCTCACTCGGTCCCTTAAGGTTCCCCGGGGGTGTTGATCCAGTGGTTCATCATCAGAGTCGGGCGGCCCGTCGTCCTCATCATCATGCAGAATCACAATTTTGTGGGGGCCCCGGGACTGTTTCCCCTGTTGGTCCGTTTTCGGCGGATCAGCTTCCCATGTAAGGAGCTGGCTCTGTCGCTCTTCAAGTAGGGCGGGGACAGTAGACTTGGGGTCGTGGAGGGTGGCACAGAGTTCTTGGACCAGCAGTTTAGGCCACGCCAGGCCTTCGTGGTGGAAGGCGTCATCGTTAGAGTGCAAAACAGTTGAGTCTTGCATATTCTGGTCGTGGCCAAATCTGATTTTTGTGTATTGCTCAATCTTGTCCAAAAATTCGTTGACCACCAAGACAATTGCTGCTCCTACATCCATCCAATCTATATCCTGAACATTGCTGTACTTTTCCACCGTGGCCAGCACTCGTGGGGTAAACATGAGGACCTCCTTAGCCTGGGCCCAGTACTTAGTGGTCAGTTTGCTCTGCGACCCCTCCTCCGCCATAGAGAAGATCTTAGTCAGGGTCCATTCGGTTAGGAATGCCAGTTTTTGTTTAACTTCTTCGTCGTGTGCCAGCGGGG